CTTTCAAGATCTGATTTTTATTAAATCCACGAGCTTTCCCTCAGGTAAATCCTCAACTATTTTAGCATTTTTTATGCTTAATTTAATTTATGAATTTCTGGGGTCGCATGCGAGGGTTAGGATTAAGATTTGGCGCCTCGAGCTCACCTCTCAGGGGGTAGAATTGCAATAAAAGGAGGAACCCTTTTTTTTTTCTGACCCCTTAATTTATTTTGCAGATTGCCATGTCTCGTACTGCGAGGGGTCAATCTTCTACCGTGTCGGCTGATGGCGCGCCTCCCTCTCATGCTGGTGAGCTATTTTTTTGAAATTTACAAATTAGTCCATTTTTTCTTGGAAATTTGCAAATTGGTCCTTTTTACTCCACGTTGTGTTTTGCTTGATCAAAACCATACCTCAAAATAAAGGGGGCGTTTTGACGCTACATTGTGCCTTATATGGCAGGGATATATTGTCGATATACCCTATCTTATGAATGCACAACGTGGCCAAATCGTCTCACCTTTCATAAGGCAACGACTCTATCTTACCCATTCGTAAGATGAGTTCAATTTCCTTTTATAACTGGAATTAACAAACGTTTCATTGCTTGTTTTCAGTTGAGCATCCTTCCGGAGCATTTTCATCTCATGCGGTGAACGGACGTCGTGGGGATGTTTTATCTTCGGTTTCCACCAGACAGGCTATCGGTCCACTTCCTCGGTTGAGTCCCGAAATCATCCTCATATCCGACGATGAAGAGGAAAAGGATCCCATTGCTGCAATTATGTCTGACCAAGAGTCTGTCTTCCTGGCCTCCGAATCCTTGCAGGACATCCTCCAAAAAGTAGAGAAGGTTGTACAACAAACGCTTACCGCCATCAGTTCTGGACTGGGAAGAGATTATGATTTGCTCCCTTTCATAGCAGATAGTCTTAAAGACATTGAGCGTGTAGGTGGCATCCGGCTAGCTGGACGATGTGAGATCAGGTTGACCTGCTTAGAGGAACTCATATATCTTTTGGAAGAGCTAGTAGACTTCGACCCGCATGATGAGGCTACCCCACTTATGATCGATGCTCAGACTCAGAGGGTACAAGAGCGTAAGGCTCGAGCGAGACGTATATCGGAGCAAGAAGTCATCGTTGCGAACTTGTACGAACGGCAACGTCGTCTGCAGAGTAAGATGGATGCTTATAACAGCATTGCTGATAGGACGGGGATCAGGACCATCCAAGGGGAGAGGACTCTAAAAGATTTTGAGCTCGAGAGCGCCAGGGTTCAAAATGTTTATAGAGGAGAGCTGGAGGTTCTTCACGCGTTGCGCCGAGAAGACGTAACCGCCAATGCTGCCGCCATTCTTGCTTATACCAAGCTTCAGAAGGAAGAAGAGGAGAGGGTTCGAGTGGAACACGCCGAGAAACTTGCCATTGTTAAGGCTAGGATTGCTTCCTTCAGTTTGTTAGATCTGATTTGAGATGTCTCTTTGTATCTGCACTTGGTTTGATTTTATTTGCTGAATGTTTTGACTGTTGATCTTTTTAGTGGAACTGGTTTTTTGTCTTTATTTTTATTATGATTCCTCATTCCGTTTGAAATGATTGACCATAATACTTTTAGGATT